CCCCAAAACCCCAAAACCCCAAAACCCCAAAACCCCTTTGATTTTATAAATTTTGAAGTTGCATTTAAATTTTACCATGGACAAGGAAATATTAAATCGAGGCAAAGACATAGATATAAAGATGAAAACCTCAAAATTTGCCTCAAAATTACACTATAAGTCAAAAAGAAAGATTGCTCATGGATCTAAAGCGAAGATGCCGATTACAAGTAAATTCAAGGGTAAAAGTAAGTCAATTTTTGCAACAAATTGTATAGTAAATAAATATGAAATAAAGACAGGCAACTTGAATCATGCCATCCAGGATAACCTAAATTCTGGGATTAATGGGAGAAACTTTAACTCTAATACTCCTAGCAATATGATGGCGACCAATAATATGCTGAACCTTCAAAGCAATATGTCAAAAGACATTATGCAGCAACTAGCCATAAAATAAGCAAATTAGGATGAATAGTGAAGAGAAACTAATGGCAAAGAAGATAGAACAGGCTAATAACAACAAGCTCAATAAACAGAAGTCATCCAAACTAGCCAGAATCGGAAGTGGAAATGATAGAAAGAAGCAATCTGGGTTGAAAAAGAACTCCACTCAATATATGGCCTCCACTTCATCAGGCCTCAGCCATAGGATTAAGGATAAACCTAATGAGAAATATACTAAGTATACCCATACCAAGAAGCTAGTCAATAGGCAGAATAAGAAGCGGATAGGGAGTCCAACTGCTGAGAGTGACAAGCAGAATGAAGACAAAACTTACTACAAAAGAGAGAAAGGCAAGATGAAAAAGAAAAATTTGAGGATTGGTTCTGACAACAATAGAAAAGACCCCCTAAATCATTATCCATTTCCCTTGACTCCTTTAGAGAAGGCTGCTAAGAAACCTATCGATATTGACGATGACCTCGGTGTTGTCAAAAGCCAAAGTACCAGAAATAAGTATGTATTGCTAATGATTTTAGGGGAAAGAAATCAGTAGATTTCTTGGGTAAGCAGTATCCAGATCCTACAAAAATAATTCTACCAAATCATGAGCCTACTAAATGATCTGTAAAGCGAAACGGAGTTGTAAAAGCATATGGGGCTAACACTAATCAAGGAATTGTAAGAAACTACAATGAAGATCGGGTCTCGATCATTCTCAATATAATGAAACCTCCAAATAAAACTGAAATTGAGTACTGGCCCAAATGCTCTTTCTTTGGAGTCTATGATGGTCATGGAGGGTCCAATTGTGCTGACTTTTTGAGAGATAACCTTCATCAATTTGTAAGTAGGGTATAAGTCATGCATAGATCATTAGAGACGAGTCCTTCCCAGACTACCCAAAGGAAGCCATCAAGAGTGCATTTGCTAAAGCTGAGAAATGCTTCTTAGAAATGGCAGAAATTGATGCGATAAGAACTGGTGATTTCTCACTCTTAGATAAATCAGGCTCTTGAGCTATCTGATGACTAATAGTTGGTAAGAACCCCACTCATTTCTTAGAGGATATGTGATATGTTGCAAATGTTGGAGATAGCAGAGCCCTCATGTCGGTTGATGGAGGAGAGAAAATATATCCACTTTCAAGAGACCACCGACCTACAGACGAAATTGAGCAGAAAAGAATCATAGAGTCTGGTGGAAAAATATACCAGACTCAAACCTTAGCCAAGATTCCTGGAATAGGAGGTCTTGGAATGAAGAGCCAGTACTTATTAGGCCCTCATAGAGTTCTACCAGGCAGATTATCGGTGTCAAGAACATTTGGTGACATTGAAGCCAAACTTAAAAAGTATGGAGGAAACCCAAATGTTGTTATTGCAATTCCAGATATAAAAGCATTTAGAATCCAGCGAGATCATGATTTTATTATGATAGGCTGAGATGGAATTTTTGATAAACTTTCTAATAGAGATGTTGTAAACTGATGATGGCACACAGTCAACAATCAAAGAGCAGGGAATGTTCATAAACAATGCGGCAAAGCCATCGACTTAGTTCTCAAGGCATCTATAGCTAAGAGAACTTTAGACAATATTACAGTAGTCATGATAGGGTTCGCTCATTTTAAGAAGCTTGCTTTTCCATCTTCAATGCCTGATAATAAAGATGAAGCTAGAAATATTGAATCTAGGGGAGGTAGTGCTTTAGGGAATCATGATAACCCACCAAATTATAAAACCTTGTCAAGCAATAACAAGGAATTTGAAAGTGAAGAAGAAAACAAGGGCGGACTCAATGGACGAAAATCAGAAGAGCCTCCAGACAGAATTTCATATAAAACTAAATAGGATTGAGAGTGGGAAAAGAGATGAAAATACGTCACCTGACCATGCTAAAAAGAATGTAAAAATTATCCCTAAAAATAAGATATCCCATCAACCAGAAAAGCCAGTTCAACTCATTATGAAGGTTGGCAATTTATTTTTATCAAATGTAAATCAGAATCTACCCAATAAAGAGGTTGAAGAGAACGAGTATGATTCCAAGGATCCTGCGAAGTATTCTAAAACAATGCCTCAACTAAAACTCGAATCTGAAAGGATCTCTCCATCTCCTGACCTCTCAAAGCATGCCAATATAAAACAGCCCAAGATGGTACTAAATAAAGAAAGTGAAAAGGACTTTATCTCGAAAGTGACTAACCAGGCCTCTGTAGGAGTCTACAAATACAGAACTTTTGGGTCTAAACTCTCATCAACTCCTTCTCACCTAAAGAGCCAGACGCCTAGAGACTCTCGGCACATAGGCTTGAGTAACTCCCCGCAGCACAGGTTTGGCACCAAGCCTGATTCCGCTTCTAGGAATCCTAACCAAGGCCAGCCATAATTTTTCAATTTAAAAATGAATTAAGGGGTTTTGGGGTTTTGGGGTTTTGGGGTTTTGGGG